CCTTTTTAAGGAGTGACCCGCCCCCCGCCGCCCCCCCGCTCGCCTGCTGCACCCTGCCTGCCCTAACACTGCCTGGGAGGGCTGGCGGGGGCTGCGGGGCACCCGCTGGGTGCTGGGGGCCACACGCTGCCCGAGCACCCTGCCTGTGCCGCCACGGCGTGTTCCCGCGCCACAGCATGGGCATGAGCGTCTGCGGGGGACGGGGCGGCGGGGGGACCCCCGTGCACCGTGGGGGGAGCAGTCCATGGCTGCCTCCCTCCGTGGTCCATGGGATGCATCAGTCTGTGGCTGATCCTCCCCCTGTGATCCATGGAATGGATCAGTCCGTGGCTGCCTCCCCCCCATGGTCCATGGGATGGATCAGTCCATAACTGATCCTCCCGCCATGATCCGTGGGACGGATCAGTCCGTGGCTGCCTCCCCCCGCGGTCCGTGGGATGGATCAGTCCGTGGCTGCCTCCCCCTGTGATCTATGGGATGGATCAGTCCGTGGCTGTCTCCCCCTGTGATCCATGAGATGGATCAGTCCATGACTGCTTCCCACCCCCATGGTCCATGGGATGGATCGGTCCATGGGATGGATCAGTCCATAACTGATCCTCCCCCCATGATCCGTGGGATGGATCAGCCCGTGGCTGCCTCCCCCCGCGGTCCGTGGGATGGATCAGCCCGTGGCTGCCTCCCCCCGTGGTCCGTGGGATGGATCAGCCCGTGGCTGCCTCCCCCCGCGGTCCGTGGGATGGATCAGTCCGTGGCTGCCTCCCCCTGTGATCTATGGGATGGATCAGTCCGTGGCTGTCTCCCCCTGTGATCCATGAGATGGATCAGTCCATGACTGCTTCCCACCCCCATGGTCCATGGGATGGATCGGTCCATGGGATGGATCAGTCCATAACTGATCCTCCCCCCATGATCCGTGGGATGGATCAGCCCGTGGCTGCCTCCCCCCGCGGTCCGTGGGATGGATCAGCCCGTGGCTGCCTCCCCCCGTGGTCCGTGGGATGGATCAGCCCGTGGCTGCCTCCCCCCGCGGGCATCCCCCGGCCCCCCAGCCCAGCTCGGTGCCCCCGCTCCCCACGCCCGCGGATAACACGCATGCCTTGTTTGTCTTCTCTCGCCCCCTCCCCGGCCCTGCGCGGCCTCTCGGGACGTAGCGAAGCAGAAGCAGAAATCGGTGAGTAGCGTCAGGACCCCCCGGGAGCGCCTGCGGGGAGGGGACGGGGTGCCCCCCGCTTGCAGCCCCCCCCATCCCCCTTGCTGCCCTCGCAGGGGCGAAGCCGAGCATCCCCCGGCATCCCTCCTCCGGCCCCGCTAACGCCCGGCTCTGCTCCGCAGGCCGAGCACGTGCCCCCGTACGACGTGGTACCCTCCATGCGGCCCATCATCCTGGTGGGGCCATCGCTGAAGGGCTACGAGGTGAGGAGCGGGGGGCACGGGGGGGACGGGGGGGGACCCCAGGCCCATGCTCTCCCTCCCTGCCTTCCTCCCTCCCCAGGTCACGGACATGATGCAGAAAGCCCTCTTCGACTTCTTGAAGCATCGCTTTGACGGCAGGTGAGACAGGCGGCTGCGTGGCCAGAGGACCCCTGTTCACCCCATAGAGGGACCCCTAATCCCATGGGGGGCCCCTAATCCCACGGGGGGACACCTTACACCATGGGGGGACCCCTAACCCTGTGGAGGACCCCTAATCCCATGGGGGACCCCTAATCCCACGGGGGGACGCGTTACAGCATGGGGGGACCCCTAACCCTGTGGAAGACCCCTAATCCCATGGGGGAACCCCTAACACCACGGGGGACCCCTAACCCTGTGGGGAGTTGCTAACACCATGGAGGGACCCCTAATCCCACAGGGGACCCCTAACCCTGTGAAGGATCCCTAATCCCATGGAGGAACCCTAACACCATGGGGGGACCCCTAATCCCACAGGGGACCCCTAACACCACATGGGGACCCCTAATCCCACGGGGGACCCCTAGTCCCACGGGGGACCCCTAACCCTGTGAAGGACCCCTAATCCCATGGGGGACCCCTAACACCACGGGGGGACCCCTGACTCCGTGGGGGGACCCTCAGTCCCGCCCCATGGTTCTTGCTGTTGGGGGGGAGCTCTCCCCCGAGGACCAGGAGTCCTGTGGCTCCAGCGCCAGGCAGCCCCGCGCACGGGCTGGGAGGAAGGGGGTGGCAGGAGGGTCCCAAGGGGGTGGGTGTGTACGTTGGGGGATTGCACCCGCTTTCGCTCCCCCCACCTACTCGTGCCCTCTCCATCTGGCAGGATCTCCATCACACGGGTGACGGCTGACATCTCCCTGGCCAAGCGCTCCGTCCTGAACAACCCCAGCAAACACACCATCATCGAGCGCTCCAGCACGCGCTCCAGCCTGGGTAAGGCGGTGCCACGGCTCGGCCGCCCCATGCTGACCCCTGCCCGGCCGGGCAGCGGGACCCCCCCAAGCCGCCATCTGTATCAGCCCGGCAGCCTCCCGTCCCCCAGCCTGTCCATCCCGGGGTGCTCATCCCGCCTGCGCTGGGCCACGGCTTGTGGGGGTCCACTGCCACGGGGTGACTAACACAGGGGGGACCCGGGGCCCTGCGCTCCCCCCGGCCGGTTTGACTCAGTTTCTCTCCCCCTCCTCCCCTTTTATCTTCTCTCTGTTGTGTTTTTCTTTCCTTTCCTTTTTCTCCTTTCCTTTGGGTTTCCTCCCCTCCGCGCTGCTTCCTTCCTCCCCTGCTCCTGATACAGATGTCTTGGGTATGTAGCTTGGACCCGCTGGGACCCCTGGCAGCCCCCTGCCCGGCGGGGAGCAGCGGGGGACGTGTCCCCGTGGATTCCCATCCTCCCTGCCTGGCCGTGACCAGGCTGTGGGACGCAGCAGGGTCCGGCCACTTGGGCAGAGCCTGAGGGTTGGGGACACCCTGGTCACACAGCCCCGTCTGACCCCCCGCCCCAAGTGTGCGCGGTCCAGGGGGCTTTGCCCCTTCCTCACCCAGCCGGTGCCAGCGCTGGGAGCCCACTGCCACCTCCCTTCTTCAGTGAACCCCCCATCCCTGGGGCTGGGGTGACATTGGAGTGGCCAAGTCCCAGTACAAGACGCCTCCTGGTCCGGTCCCCATCCCATTCCCCTTGTCACATCTCCCAGCCATTGCCCCCACAGCCCCCACGTGCTCGCCGGTCCCTCTGCGCTGTCCCCCTGACCCTCGCTCTCTCCCTGCCCTGGCAGCCGAGGTCCAGAGCGAGACCGAGCGCATCTTCGAGCTGGCCCGGACGCTGCAGCTGGTGGCCCTGGATGCTGACACCATCAACCACCCGGCCCAGCTGGCCAAGACCTCGCTGGCGCCCATCATCGTCTACGTCAAGGTGTCCTCGCCCAAGGTGGGGGGTGACTGCGGTTCTGGGGGGGGCCCGGCAGCCCCCCGCCGTGCCGTCACCCTCCTCTCCCCCCCCCAGGTCCTGCAGCGGCTCATCAAGTCCCGCGGCAAGTCCCAGGTGAAGCACCTCAACGTGCAGATGATGGCGGCCGACAAGCTGGTGCAGTGTCCCCC